AAAGAAAAAAAGAAAAAATTTACAGTGTCATTCAAGGCACTGTTTTTTTTTATTAATGTTTTTAAAAAATCCCTCCTTTATTTTTTTCTTTCTTTATTATTATTATTTTCGTGCTAAAAGGATTTTTCAAAGAACTGCTGTTTTTTCCCGCCTTTTCAGTTTTTTTAGTAATATACTTTTAGTCCCTCTAAATTAAGGATGTTACTGCTTTCCCCCCATTGCATTCCATCAACATTTTTCCCGCCAAAAAGATTTTTTATTTTTTCCACCTCTTTTTTATAATTTTGCACCTAAATGCGCTAAATTCATGGTTTTCGGTATTATAAGTATTAAAGTAAAGTATTCTTACCTTAATGGGAGTTTTTCATACCGGGCGCTGAAATTTAGATACCGCAATTGCCCAATTTATTTAGAGTTAACTTCTGCCACATCTGAAAAAATGAGAAAAATATACAATGAGCACAAGACAATAAAGGAAGAAAGGAAGGAAAAAGTAAAAAAAGAAAGTGGCTCAGTATCATTGTTCAATTGTTTGTGGCGCGCATTTACAATTTCATTCAAGAAAAGCGACAAAACAAAGCATTCAAAAAAAAAGTTTTTTCCAAAAAAAAATTCTAAATTTTTTTAAAGAAAACAAATGTTTACACTAGAAAACAACTTKTTTTACAGAAGAATAAACGTTGCAAACATTGTTTTACGCATTTTTCATTCACACTTGCCTTGTTGCCTTTGTGCAAGGGCCAGAGTGATAACGATGAAGATTGTTGTCCAGCTTTAGGATTTTTGTTTCAGTTTAAACTCTTCAACTTTGTTATTTTATTCTGCAAAAGGTAAAAAGGCAATTTATTTGGTTGGTTTGACTCAACACAAAAGATTTCAGCTGCTTTTGTCCGTCACTAATGTTTCAATTTACTGCAGCAAGTCTACAAACATGGTTTAAAACTAAAGCCATTAACTCTTAAAAACTAGTCAAAACTAAAGAAAATCAAGAGCACCTCAAACAAGAAGCCTATTCTTATCTTTTCCAAGTATTTTTTGCAGAAAAATTGGAATAAAATGATAAAAAACGTTCACTCACCGTGTTGGAACGTGTGGAGAGAGCGACGGTTTGATCTAACTTCAGTTCGACGGCACTGAATTCTTCTTTAAAACTTAGTCAAACTTTCTTGTAATTGTATCATTAATAAACATATGTTGTAGCTGCATCATCATAGAAGCTGAAAATAGATGAGGAAAGATTAGTTTTGAATAAATAACGAAGGAAAATTGGTTCTAATCTTCTTACTTTCAATTCTGCAGCCACTTGCTTCGACGTCTTGAATGAAAGTGTGTGAATTCTGGCGGTAACAAGCCATTTGCGTGCAAAATCTCACGTGCTTTGGTCTCAACCAATCAGAAGCTGTTAAAAAATCGGCGTTTCAAGTATTAGCCAATAGTGTTGCAGATAGGTGTTACTGATTGACAGAAGAACAAATGAAAAAGGCGGCAAAATATTTTGCGGAAGAGGAGGGGAGGGAACGTTCGTTCAGAAAAACTTGTGGCAAAATATTTTGGTAAAGTGGAGCGAAGGAAACGGATATTCGTATTTCTCTCTTCTTTTTATTTGTATGTGCTTTTGTTTTGTTGTGCGTTTTCTTTTTCTTTTTTTTTTTTTTTTTTTTTTTTTTTAGGTTCAAACCTACACGGCCTAAATTCCCTTCCCTAAACTCGCTCAAAATATCATCTACATACAAAATTATCGATATTTAAAAATGTAACGTATATTAGTTCCGGGTTTATTCAATCGGGGAAAAAATGAGTTTATACTACAATTTTCTCTCGCAATTTATCTCTTTCTTTAACCGGAAATTAAAATGCCGCCATGAAACTTCAAAGCCGGAAATACGTCATGTTTGCAGTACAGAATGGAAACGAGGTTCGTTTATTTACAAAACTAATATATCGAAGCGGTATCCAGCAGCTTTGCTTTGTTTTTAATTCATTGGGCATATTTCTGCAGTTGGATTCACCATTTTGATAATTCGTATACCGATTGTAAAAATATTGTTTTCAAAGTCGATTTGCCCGATAGATTCGTAATAAGATAATCAATCGGATCAAGCTCTTCAACATGGATAACTCTTCCAATAACGATACAAACGCAAGGTAAACAATTTGTTTTATTGAATTTCTTTACCCCTCGAAAGGAAATATTTAATACACAGTTCATCAAATTGCGCGATTTCCTGATGCTAGAGTTCAATAATCAGATAAGTGTCGATGGATATATACACCAGTCTGTGTAAAATCAACACGAGCAGTGTAGAGTTGTAAAAAGGGACGATATTTGCATAATGTAATAAGTAACTTTTTATTTAAACATTTTATAATAAAATTGAACGATAAAAACATTTTAAAAACGTGACGACGTTTCGACGTTGCACAACGTCATCGTCAAGTCAAAGATGAACTAGAAAAGTAGAATATATATAGAAATAATAACAATAGATATATAATAACACAATCAGACAAACAGTTTGGCATTCAGAATGTACAATCAGAATGTACAATCAGAATGTACAATCAGATTCCATACGTGCCAAACTTTTGTCTGATTAAATTTAGATTTATCATCAGCGGTAACTCAAGCCTGCGTAACATCCGGAATTTTCTTTGTATTTATGAAGAAAATTCCAGATGTGACACAGGCTATATATGGTAACTCCAGCATCGGCTAGGAACTATTATTCGTGGTCACTGAATGGAACTGTAAAATGGAGTATTTAAAGAAAAAATATATTTCTCCTTTCTAATCATCAAATTATCAAGTTTTGTATGAGAGACCTTGAAGATCTGAATTTTTCTCATGCAGATGAACAATCTAGTACCCTGCTGGCAGCTAGAGTCTCTGTTTAATGTCTCTCACCCGGGGGAAATTAAAAGGAGAATTAGTCTGCTAGCCTGTTAGTAATCTAGATCTCTAGACATGTTCCACCGTACAGTAGGCTCAGTTTTCTGTCAGTCGGGGTTTGAAGTACGCACCCTCAATACTATGTGATAGGAGAATATCATGGCACATATGAAACCAATGGCTGGAAATCTGAGCCTAGTTCCACCATTAACTATATGAGATGTCAGAAGTCCATGATTATAGTAACAGCTACTGTTATGGACTTCTTGGAATGTTCATTAATTTATTTGTGGGGGGGAGGGGGGGGGGAGTGGTGGGTCTTGAAATGATTGATGTATTTTTTCTATTTCTCCATCTATCCTCCCCTCCCCCCTCATCCCTTCTGATACATGTATCATTCTTGGTGAATTTGCTTAGAGTACTTTTGATGTTTTATTGAGTCATGGGTACCATACAGCTTGAAGTCTTTGTTTTTTACTACTGTCAAACAAAAAATGTTTGTATGTGCTGTAAGTCCACACCATATGTTTCCCGCTGAATATGAAAGCCACTCTATTTCTTCAAGTAACATGTCTTACACCAGTTCTTAATCATTTCCACCTTTTTTCCATCTTTTCACTTTTGAGTTTTCATTGATTTTGATTTTATTTCTGATATATAGACTTAATTAACATTCAGTTTACTATTCTTTTCACAGTCCTTGTGTTCCGTCTTCTGATTATCAACTTTACAATCAGATTGCCATGGGGCCTGCTGTGAGTAAATTACCTGAAAGGCTAGCTAGGGACAGGGAGGGTCTAAATAAATTACTTTATTATGAGTCTGTATGTTACTAAAATTACAATCTAGAGGGACAGGTCAGGCTATTGTATATATATACATATATATTAGGAATATAAAATGGTGTGCGTGTATATATATACACTGTGATATAAACACGATGGGAGCTGTAGAGCAAGAGAAAAGTTGTAGAGAAACAAGAGACCTAGCCGAGTGTTTCTTTGACTTCTCGAGTGCTCTACAGCTCCCATCATGTTTATATCACAGTATATAGATACAAACAGACATTTTATATCGCTTTTATAAAATATTTTTGAATGATTTCGCACGAGCATGTCTCTGACCTCTGATATAAACATATGGTAGCCAGCCAATCAGCGCATGCGTTATATCTCAAATATTTTATAAATAAATATATAAACATTGACAATTGCTATCATTAGAATGAATTTTGAAATCTCATGTGGAATTAGGACATTTAATTATTTTACAGGGAAGGAAGGTGGGGGGCAAGGGGTAATTTAAAAAACATTGAACAGCCTGACAGATGACATTTTTGCCCATTAAAAATTCCCACCTTCCCACATATATTAGTATACCACAGTTAATATGATTATATATATTGGTTTTTAATTATATTTTCGACTTTACATTAATCAGGTTGTGATTATAATAGTTCTTATGTTTATGAAGAGGAGAACTAAGAGGACAAAATGCTGTGATGGACGACCAGGAATACAGCCGTAAGTAAAATTCTAAAACAGGAAATTGAAGTAGTCTGTTTAATATTTTCATTAGGATGTTTTACAAGGCTGTTTGGCATTTTATAACATTTTCTATAGTCCTTTCTCCTTTTTACTGGCTCTTCCTTTTCCCTGTATTTCCCACAGTTTCTCTCTTCTCCCTTACTTTTCTTATCCATTTCTCCATCCTCCCAGACCCATTCCTCTCTGCTCTTGCAGTACACCACTTAGTCAGAGCTTCTTTGATCTAAATATTCAAAGAAGACTATTACCATATATTGACCATGTATCCATGCATATTGACAGATGTTTTTGTTATAGTCCTGTAGATTTTCTTGGGAGTGAAGAAAACAGGTTTTCTTTTGCTCTTGCATATGGTGCCATGGCTGTAACAGTGACAGGCTTGTTTGCCAATAAACTTCTTTCCAGCAATACTGGAGTGGTGTTCACAATTGAAGGGCCTCCTTGGATATCAGGTATATACTGCAGTTACTGTCAGTAGGATTATTTATGGAGGTTATTATCTTCAGTTATTTGCTTTTAATCTGCTGAAATCAAGGTGAAACGTGTGCAAGAGAGGAGAGGAGACAAGAGGAATTGCCAATGCATTGTTTTTCATTTATTTGCAGAGGCTGAAATGGCTAAATAATGAGGGAGTGGGAGAGAAAAAAATGACATAAAAAATAGGGAGGAAGAATATTTTTAAAAAGTTTAAAATAATCAATAAACCTATATAATCGTACACAATACCAAAACCCAAAGAAGCTATGTCTTCGGCAAAGGTGGGGCGAGAATAAACACTCCACAAACCAAAGGTGCGGACAAGGAAAGAGAGAGTTATTAATTAATTAAACCATATAACTGGACCAGAGATTGACCTGTGAAGAAGTAGCCCATGTCTAACCAATGTTCTTGTTTGCTATTCTTACCTTTGTGGTCCACCAGGTCTCTATATATTTCAAGCTTAAATTTGACTGTTTTCGATCTTAATCCTTATATATATATATCTTGCATTCATGATAGTATTTCAAGGGATTGTATCGGTCATCTCCATCGGCACCATGTATCTGCCTCTTTTCCTGTGTCTCAGCACTGATGCGAAGATCCTTGGATCAGTTATGGGATTCCTATTCACTGGTTACAGGTTAGAGAAATTAAAAAAATTAGATAAAATTAGATCTATATTAAGTGTCTAGTCATTCTAGCACTTTTGCACTAACTGGGGACACTTTTCACTCACACGCACTACTACTGGATTCCGACCACTACATTCAGTGTTCTATGTACACGACTCAACTCACATATGTTGTTTTTTATTAGACCAAACATTGAAAATAATGTGTGCACCATGACCTTTGAACTTTAAGATTGGATATTTAGATAGCAAGCACAAAAATGCCCAGAAAGAATTACTCTCTCTTCTCTTTGGTCTCAGGTTCAATTCCTGTATGAACTTACAACCAATTGCAAGGGTTTTCTTTGGGTTCTCTGGYTTTACTCCCTCTGCAAAATCTAACCCACTGAATTCCAATTTGATAAGTAAATGAGCGGTACCATGACTTGGTCAGTAGAGAGGTTTTTTCGAGGTATCAGTACATTTTAAATTTGGAAATTCCAATAAAAATTAATTGTATCAATTCTTTTGTACCTATCAGATTAGCAGTTCTCATCATCGTGGTCTTGAGATGCCCAATTGACAGAACAACAGTAAGTATTCTATATGCACTGACCTTCGTATTCCATACAAGAAATAGAATAAGAATATCTCATTTATAATTTTTCGATGTTACTTCAGGCATTCATCTACTGGCCAGTGTTCTTTGACCTTCCAACAATCCTTTCGCATATATTCCTCATTATTCGCTTCTTGACGATCTTTTTCTTGGAACTCAAAAAAGAGTGTAACAGAAATGAAACATCATATACTGTGCTCCTAGGGGTGAGTAACTCAGAATACAGGGATTAGAGCCCTTTTCCTTTTCTGATAAACTTGACTCTGGTTTAATTCCACATCATTGATTCTATCACTGTTTAGGAAGAAACAGACTTTAAGATAGACCCACACTATGAGGCACATGTTAAAACTCTGTTGGAAGGAGTCCGAAAGAGGTATCAGAGTAGATGATAAGAGATGATAGTATTAATTACGTAACACCTTGTTAACTTGAGCGTAATGTTTTCCCATTTCAATTACCACATTGCATTCCCTAAAGTAATCATTTGTTTAATGGTTGTGCATGATAAGACACATGAATTAAATGGAAAGACAACTCCAACAAAGAATATTATTCTCAAGAGAATGACACATGGTTAGAAATGAGAAAATATTATGCCTAGTAAGGTAAATAGGTCTATCTATTGAGAATTACCAAGTACACAGAAGTGGTTTACATGCGGATCCTCCTTAAAACCTATTAAACGGCCATCCTCTACTAATATAAGTGGCCAACTTTGGAAGTCCCAAAGAGCTGATTTTTACCTATATACTGCAGGCCAACGTTAGTTTAGCGTTCTCTTGACAATTCCCCTGTATAATTTTATGGCCTCTCATACAGGACTGATTTTATTGTATTTACAAATGGCTCAGGCCCTCACTTTTAAGGATACTACGCRTTGTCTTGATAGTAATTTGATTGTTTATTATTCTCATTGCTTGTAGTGACACTAACAAGTGGTATGTCAAGGGACGCAACTTTGTCTACACTCCTCAACCACGTGAGTATAGACTTAAAAAGATTTTACCATAGCTGATATTGCTGAGCTATTATAGACTGTACTTTTTGACTGGTTGACAAGGCATGGTATAATACTTTATACAACATGCAGTTACAGTATTACTGTGCTTTTTGACTGGTGGGTGTTGCATGCAAGCGAAAGTTGTGAGGAAAAATTGTGCCATGTAAATTGACCTTCATGTTTTTCACCAGGTCTTGAAAGTACTGTGCAGTAGATATAATCGCTGTTTTTCCAGTTTACCCAGACCATGTGTCATTATCTTGACTAGTATTTTTACCAGTAATGCCTTTTGATGATACATTAATATGGATGTGAGTCAAACGAAGGATCCTATTTTAAGTGGATGACACGTGGACTGAAAATCTTTTTTAATGGGATGACACTTGGACTGAAATGGAAAAACTGTTAAAAGGACTACACACTATACTGACACTAAATTACTCAACTTTTCTATTTATAATATTTTCTAGATTTCAAATACTCTGTCGCAATGCTGTCGACTGTTATCGTGGCTGGCATCATCATTTATGAGGTTTGTTCAGTACTTTTAAAAAGCGCACAGGTTTAACAGCTGTGAAGTGTCATCAGATTTCTAGTGAGGCAAACACAGTTCTCGATTAGCAAGTTTTAGTTTGCACATTAACAAAGTTTGGTAGTTCGCGATTATCTCATGATCACCACTGATCAGTCCCACATTATGGAGAGTCCTTACTCATTATATATATACATCCATCCCAAAGGATCATAGGGGAATTTTATGGCAAGGTGCGCAATGATAAACCACTTGCACTGCATATTTTGCAGGAACGAAAAAAGTGTGCAAAGATTCTATTAGTGGTAGTATGTGTTGTTATTACACAAACAATCTGTTGTCAATAAATTTCTTAATTGATTTTCAGTTCGTCATCCTGGTTGGCGGAGTGTTTGTTGGACTGTTTATTAATATCAAAAAAAGCACTGTTTCAAGTAAAGAAGTCATCATACTATTACAAGGACAGGAGACCTACGACATCACAATACAAATATACGACATCTTGATTAGTGAGTAGATCCCCAGAACAGACATATAGTCCATATAGAAGACATATAGAACTGTACCCACTTTTGTCTATCACTATAGATGAGAATAATGCATGGGCTTGAATTGAACAAAAGGAAAGCCTTGAAAAGAAAGTGTGACTGCATGTGTGTTTATTCGCCCCTGTCCTCTTTTGTTTACTCTAGTGTCCCTGTAGGTCATGCACTCAAGGAGATAAAAGTGGACAAGTTTTGGGATAGCATGCAGTGACATAGTCCATTTTAAAGCACAACTCAGTGATCTTAAGTCAGTATGAATGAACTAGTGGACTGTTGCAATTTAATCCTGCATTCTGATTGGCTAAGTTGCATATTTCCCAAAGTCAAGAAAAACTCTGGTTTTTCAAGTAATATGAATAGATAGAAGGTAACTAAGATTTTGCCTTTTCCATTTTTTTTTCTTACCATGCAGTTACCTTTCTGGTGTCAAGCATAGTGGCGGCTCTTTATACGTACTTCCAGATGTATCGAATGCTCATAGCACACAGGTAACAGATCCAAGAAAATGACATTATATAGACAGGCGTTGCTAGAGCAAACGAGGGGAAACTGGGAGAAGGTTGAGGAATGCTTTAGCATTCAATCATGACATGCCCCAAAACGAAAAAACAGATATTTCAGTAAAATTTTGAGTGTGCAGTTTTATATTTAAAGAGAATTGATTTTATAAATTCTTATCGAAAAATCTCATAGAAAGGTATGAATAATTCTCATTATAAAGCACCTGTTCTGGTATTGTAGCCTGTCAAGTTTCTTAAAATTGGATGAGCGCACAACCTTGAGAAAAAGGTATTTTCCTATTGCAGATCATGTGTCATTCAATTCAGCACTATTTCTTTTGTTTACCAGTAACTTTTGAAGAAAGAGACTCTATCAAAGAATCTTATTTTTCTCAAGGAAATGACATGTGGTCTGAAATAGGAAAATGTCAAACTCAAAGTAAGGCTCAATCAAAGAATCTTGTTATTCTCATGTGGTCTGAAATAGGACACCGTCAAACCTAAAGTAAGGGTCTATCTTTATCACTGCCTTTTTGTGTTTTTGTTTAGAAATCATGTGATCAAGCTAATAAAATCTGACCGAAGATTCTTGCCAAGAACCCTGCAACCCCCTGAGTCAATGGTGGTGAGTAAGGAGGGGAGGAAACTTGGCTTAGGATGTGTGATGATGAATGCCTTTATATATATATATGTATATATATATTTAGATAACCAGTTTAGATATTCCAACCAATTCCATGCATGATTTGATTGCTTAGTATTTGAGTGATGTTCTTTCTCTTGCACTATTAGGGAATGAGTTTAAGGTTTTGTGGTTACCAGATTGCATATTTTCTATGGGGTAAGTAAATCTTGGGTCAATATGCACCCATATTTTCATTTTTCTACCCATCCATTACCCATTCACTAACCAATCTATTCATCCATTAATATCTATCTCTAGTTTTGAGATAGTTAAGTAGTAATGAACATTTTTTATATAGCTTAAGTAGTAACGAACATTTTTTACCTGTAATAGTGGTAGTTAGCACGGTCATAGCATCTTCCTACCCATCCATTTGTTCACTCAATAACCATTCAATCCATCCATTAATATCTATCTCTAGTTTTGAGATAGTTAAGTAGTAATGAACATTTTTTATATAGCTTAAGTAGTAACGAACATTTTTTACCTGTAATAGTGGTAGTTAGCACGGTCATAGYATCTTYCTACCCATCCATTTGTTCACCCAATAACGAATCAATCCATCCATTAATATCTATCTCTAGGTTTAAGATAGCTTAAGTAGTAATGAAAACGTTTTTCTTGAACTTTTTTCAGGTTTCCTGATCATGATGGGTATTCTAATAGTGGTAGTTATGGCCATATCTGTTGCCATCCTCGTTTTGCCGGAAATAATGAGTCCCGAACTTAAGGATTTGATGATAGGCTTGATCATTGGATTAATGTAAGTAACCCTTGTGTTGTATTAAGAGAGGGTTTCAATAACTGATATCCTACACAGTAGAAAGTATTTCGTATGAATGTGGAACAGTATGTTACAATCACTGTAACGCCACAGTGCGCGAGGTAACTTTTCATCCAATCAAAATGCTTATAACCAGTATCGGCACGGCACTTTCATACGATGAGTTTTTCTCAGTTATACGAAATCTGTTCTGTATGAATTCGGACGTAGCATACTGTGCCGTGATAACTGAACTATGTTTCAAACCTATTGGAGATGTTGTCCATGTTGGCTGGCATTCAGCCATCTTTTATTTTTATAACACCTTCTTTTTCAGTCCTGTTGTGGGGATGGCCATATTTGTATGGCTGTTGCAGCTCCTTTTGGCAAAGTTTGTTTTCAACGACAGATCAATGAAAAGCAAAGTGGTTAATATCAATAACAGGTAATATTAACACATATGATGATACATGCTGCGGTCTTTTCTCCCGCTCGCAGCGGCGCTATTTAAAATATTAAGCTCGTTGTGTTTTGCGATGCCAGTGCAAGAAAACTTAAGCAAGAAGGTTATAAAAATGTTTTCATCAAAATGCCAATAAGCATGGTATTTTCTCAAGCAGAGAAAATGAATTGGAATGTTCAATACTTCACGCTTAACTTCGTGCGCTCAAGCCAAATATCGTTTCCTTACTTGCAAAAGGGATAACGTCACTTTTGTCAGCTCTAGAGCATCAGCAGATCAGTTAGCATCTTCAAATTGTTTCCATATATCTTTGTCGTTGTTTATGGAAAATATTTCCTTTGAAGTAGTAGAAATTACTAAGCAATTGAACTCAGCATTTTTTCCATCTTTTAAAAAAGTCTTCGAACTTTTCCTTTAATAATGGAAGACTTTGCGCGCTGGAAACGAAACGGCTGGAGTATTTTTGTTTCGACATTTTGTTAATGGAAGATTTTTCACGCCCTTAAAAAGAAAAGACTAGAACATTTTCATTTTGACCCATAATACATTGCGCGCCTAGATTCGCTTAGGCTGCAATTAATCTTCCCTTCTAAGCCTTCCATCAGCTGTGATTTAATGCCCAATTCTTTGTCACAATTTTAGGCGATGTTTTCTGCTATTGTCGTTTTTCTTCTTCTTCTTCAACATCTTGGTTGGTTTGATGTCTTGTGTGCTTCGGATTGTCAAAGGGATGGTGCTGGGTATCATGTTTATTGGAAGGATCGATCGACCTTTGATTATGAAGGGATTTACAAACTTGGATACAGGTATGGTGAACCTTAAAGTGAGTCCCAAGCAGTGATACTGTACCTATCTTTGATTTTGCACGTTCCTACTTTGGATTCTGGATTCCGGCGCATTTTGGTTTATTGTCTTTTTTACTTTAAAATTCATCGCTACACTAAAACAACCTCTGTGCTTCTGGGCTAATAGGGACTTTAAGATTTGCAAAATCTACGACGGCGACGTCTACCGGAAGTGTAAATAACTTCACTTTGAGGTTTCACGCCTTCAAAGTCTGTCTTCCCTGTGGATGAGTTGACTTTACTGACAATGCTTTGAATGAAATCTCCAATGAACAGAACCCCAAAGAGAAATTATTTACACTTCCGGTTGACGTCGCCGTCGTAGATTTTGCAAGTGTTAAAGTACCTTATCAAAGTCAAAGCACGACAAACTCAAAGATCGAATTGGAATTTAGCGTGTTTGGTTTTACGGAGAGTAAGAAATCCGGATAAGGGCCGGATACGGACAAATTCGGGCTGCCGTGTACTAGTTTTGTTTCAAAAGAAAATTAATTTATAAAGTCTTAACTTACATAGCTGGAAATCAATTGATGCTATTTTCAATATCCTTCAGCCTATGTTGCCTATATTGGTTTTCTTCACCTTCAAGTGGCTCATAAGCATCCTGTGGTCCTTGTGTTCAGTCATCTTCTTTGGCAGGGCATGCGCAGAAAGCAGCGCCAACGTATGGAGGAGGGATTAATGGTTGGTAAGTACTGACTTCGGGGTGCCTTGAATCAATGGATACTTTCGCGTCATTTGGTTTGAAATTTAAAAGAAAAATTGAAAGTTGCAAGAAGCTTATATTTAAAGAAGTCAACTTTGAGACAAATGCTACTAGGTCTTTGCAAAAGTCTTGTACATGCCATATAGGCTTACTGTGCTTATAGAATACTGCAAAGAACGCACAAAATATGCATGTGACGTTTCGTTGTATCCAACTATCCTACCACCCAACCACACTTATCAAACCACTGTCCACTTATCCACCTATATACCAACACACCCATTCATCCATCAATCCACAAACCAGAAATACATTTTTTTGGTTTTATTTCATAAGGTTTTTTGCAATGGTTGATAATTTATCTTGTTGATCCAGGATTATTCTATTATTTCCAAGAATGTTCTAAAATGGTAGAAGTATGTGTTGTACAGTCAGTGTGTGTGGTAAAGTCCATTCAGCCAGGTTTGTCTCGGCTGTCTGGTCAGTTGTTAGTTGTGAAAACAACAGTTGTGGACAACGGTTCGTCTAGTCAGTCAGTCTAAGTCGTTGTGCAGTCGGTGTGATAAAGTCCAGTCAGTCGGGTTTTTGTCGGCTGTCAGGTCAGTCGTTGTGTATTGGACAACGGTTCATCTAGTCAGTCAGTCTAAGTCGTTGTGCAGTCGATGTGGTATGGTCTAGTCAGTCAGGTTTGTTTCATCAGGTCAGTTGTGTAGTGGACAACCGTTCGTCTAGTCAGTCAGTCTAAGTCGTTGTAGAGTCAGGTTTGTTTCGTCAGGTCAGTTGTTCTGTTCGTCTAGTCAGTCTGTCAAAGTCGTCATTTGTGCAGTCAGTGTGGTAAAGTCCGGTCAGTCAGATTTGTTTCGTCATGTCATATGCAGAGCAAGTGTGCAGCAGGGTTTAAAGTAAGTTGTGAAACAAGGATCCTCGATTCTTGTATATTGTAAAAATCACAACTCAATGTCCAGGAAGTACATGCAAGCCATGTGGAAAAAGCGGAGAGAACAAAGAGGGAGGACTACAAATCGACCGCAATTTCTGCGGTAAAGGCGTAAATAAACGATTTGTAGTTGAAAATAGCAACCAGGTACAAGAGCTAAAAGAAAGGCCAGTATTTTAGCCTCCAAGTGCAGCAGACTTGAAGGCAGTTCAGAGGAGTACATCGTGGACTATGGAGTAGAGTCCGTTGTCCGTCGATGATTGTCAGGTTTTTTGTCGGTCTTCTGTTGCGGGTCGTCTGTTGTCGGATGTTTGTTGTCTGTCGTTGTTCGTCGTCCGTTGTTGGTGGTCCGCCAGTTGATAGTTGTTGTCTGTCGTCGTTCGTCTTCCGTTTTTGGTTTTCCGTCAGTTGACAGTTGTTGTCTGTCGTCGTTCGTCGTTCGTCGTCCGTTGTTGGTTATCCGTCAGTTGATAGTTGTTGTCTGTCGTCGTTCGTCGTTGGTTGTCCGTCAGTTGATAGTTGTTGTCTGTCGTTGTTCGTCGTCCGTTGTTGGTTGTCCGTCAGTTGATGGTTGTTGTCTGTCGTCGTTTGTCGTCCGTTGTTGGTTGTCCGTCAGTTGGTAGTTGTTGTCTGTTGTCGATTGTCTTCCGTTGTCCATTGTCCATTGATCGTCGTCTGTTGTGGGTCGAGTGTTGTCTGATGTCCATTGTCCGTCTGTCGTTGGTCGTATGTTGTCCGTCTGTCGTTTGTCGTATGTTGTCCGTCTGTCGTCGGTCGTATGTTATCCGTCTGTCGTTGGTCGTATGTTGTCCGTCTGTCGTTAGTCGTATGTTGACCGTCTGTCGTTGGTCGTATATTGTCCGTCTGTCGTTGGTCGTATGTTGTCCGTTGTCGGGTGTCCTTTGTCGGGTGTCCATTGTCTTATGTCAGTTGTGGGTCGTCGTTTGTCGTTCGCCCGTTATCCGTTTTCCTGTCGGTTCATCTTCTTTTGTCAATTGTCTGTTCCATTGTTCATTCTCCATTGGACATTGTCTATTGCCCAATGTAGAGTCCATCGAGTAGAGTAGGTTTTCTTATCAACCATTGAGTCTCAGTAGTCTTGATCTTCGAGTCTGTAGAGTCCATTGTGTAGAGTATGATTTATCATCAGTTATTCAGCAGAAGTTCAATAGTTCAAAAGGTGAAGGGGGTTTTATCAACCAGTGATTCCAGTGTACATTCCAGAGGTTCAGTGAAGTCCATTAGTAAAATCATATTTTCAATTTAGCCTGTGAAAAAGCCTTCCGAAAAACAAAAACAAAAAGTAAAAAAAAAWAAAAAATAAAAACGTCATCCCATCCAGCCGGCATCAGCTTGTCTTGGCTTGTTCTTGACTGAAGACAGTGAATGATGGTATATCGGCTGCTATGTTGGTCCCCAGTTATAGCCAAGTTCTCGGCTGGAGCGCGGAGGGAACAGCCTTATCGGCCTCCCTCTGCCTTCTAGAAGTAAAGAAAATGAAAAAAACAAAGGAATACATATGTATTTTAATTTAAGGGCGGGAAAAATTTACTGGCATCGTGTTTTCTGTGTAGAATCTAATGAAATGAAAAAAAAAACCTAGTTCCAAGAAGTGAAAATCACTAACGCTTTTCGAGCGTTACGAACATGAATTATTTCACTAATGCCGTTACGTACGTACCTTGACGTCCTTCTTGAAGTAGCGGTACAACATATAAGTTGTTGCACCTGCCACCACGACTGCCGCGGCCCCCATGCACAGGTTCTTTACCAAACTCATATTAAAGCCGAGCTTTTACCATGAAATTCAATAAAATGTGAATAGGGTTTCTGATTAATTACTTCTTTAATTGCTTCAGTAATGAAGTAATTGTCATATGACGTCATAATAGACCATTGGATATTTTATCTCTTCTAATTGGGATAATTATCCGAGTCTCRACCAATCGAATTGCAGTCGTTGTCTAATCGATATTATGTCGTTCATACCGCATTTCCGTGCTCAAGGGTTTTTGAATTTTTTTGACACGACGGCTTTATTGACTGAATTTTTCAGACCCCCAAAACTTGTTCATAACCATTGAAAAAGTACAACAGAATTGCGCGCGCTCGTGCGCCAAAATATCCTAGTATTGTTTAGCAATGTAAGACTGTTACAAAGTCACATACAGTTCATACAGGGTCAGAATGCATAGTTTGACGCACTTAATTGCACAAAAGCTCAAAAATCAAGTGGACATCGGCCTTATATTTACCGCTTGCAATTTCTCTTTTCAGTAGCTCCAGCCAGTATGGAGAATGACGTTCGAAACAACATAGGTAGGCTATCTGATGAAATGGGAGAGGTCTATAGTTCCAATAGAGTTCTTTCGTAACATCAATTTTCTTTCTTTTTCAGAACTGAAGCCTGCTGCATCTGGACGTCCAAGAGTGTCTGCTTCAGCACTAAATAAATGGTTCATAGCAGTAACCGTGATAAGGAATCCTATGCTGATATTTAACAGAAAAGGGTACCTTAGGAACGTTATCCTGGGGATGCAGAATACCATTCCAATAAGTGACCAAGATGGACCAAGTGGAAATAATGAACTTCAGAACGGTCATTGTCAAACAGACGGAAAGAACAATTTAACACTAATAGTACAACAGGTTTGAAAGATACAATGCAGTAATCCGACTTCTCAATGGAGATATTTGTGCGACTCGGTTTCTGTGCTATGTTCATATTCTACATTGTGTTCCTCGCATACTATGTATTGAGAACCAACATCATCCAAGAAACACAAGGGGCAGCACTTATCTTTCATTGTTCTATTATTTACCGCTTATTTACATGACATCATATGATCAAGACTCCAGCTTGGAGCAAGGGAGCACATTAAAATTTTGTTTGTGTAAAGAAAGGTATTGTTCTTGGTTGATCTATCTAGCGCACGCAATCCATCTTGTGACAAAAATTCCTCGTAGTGTTTTGGTTTCGGGCGATCCGAATGGCTTACGATCGTGCAAGGAAGGGAATGACGAGTGTACACGCAAGATATTCGTCGGTTTTCGGAGTAAATTCGCTAGCCAGACTAAAGCAGGGAACGACGGCCATAAAGCGTAGCGCACGCGTACGTAAACGAGCACTACAAGAATCATACAAGTGAGGCTATCGGGTGGTGTCTCATTTGAATGCATCCATAATATCTGCTATTCTACAAACATATACAAGATATTATAAGTTAGTTAAAAGGCCAAAGATAGTCTTCTACAAAAAGTTATTTATTACACGCTGTTGTTTGGTGCATCTTAAGAACCATGCTACACAGCAGCAAGAGTCTTCCAATAAAARCACCCTGATTTTCTAACTGTCTATCGATTTCCTGCCTGTGATAATTAATACCCTCTAATAATTTTTTTAGCATAGAATTTTGTACTTTTGTTCTTATTTATAGAAATATTTCAATTAGAGTTCAAGTTTATTGGAGCTCTGTGAGGTCACATGGCGGCAACCATTTTGCGAGACAGAAAAAAAAGTTAATTAAATATTATGCCTGTGATAATTAATACCCTCTAATTATTATTTTTTAGCATAAAATTTTGTGCTTTTGTTCTTATTTATAGAAATATTTCAATTAGAGTTCAAGTTTATTGGAGCTCTGTGAGGTCACATGGTGGCAACCATGTTGCATGACAGAAAAAAAATTGTTAATTAAATATCATGGAGCAAATTTTAGATTTTTTCTATTTCAGCCATCCAACATGGCCGCCATTATTCACCAGTCTCATTAAACCAACCTGAATTTGGGGTAACAAGTCAAACAGGTTTACCAAAAGATAAAATTGGTTCTGGTAAATGCGGTGTCTGCATTTTTTGATTTCTTGTTCCCTTTTGCAAGTAAATCAAACGGGTTTTTTTTTTCAATTCTATAGAGCCATCAGGTGTACTGATGCACTGTAACAAAAGTGGACTGGCTTGCTGTCTGATATAATGAATATCGTTTCCGAATATCACATCCAAGCAACTCTATTCACTTTCCCTCATCTTTCATTCACAATTAGAAAGATAATCTTATTGAATAGCTGAATAATTTGAGCCAAGTAATGGTTTTCTTTCACCATTTATAAAGCTCCCTCGTAATGTCTCGTCTTCTTCATTATCAAGGTCAGGGTCACGAGAAGGCTTTGGTCCAACATAACTCAAGAATACTGGTAGAAAAACAAGACCGTGTAGAGCACCAAATAACACCATACCTAAGTACATACGGAAATAGAAAACCTAGAAATAAAGAAATACATGTTAGAAATGCTTGTGAACATCCTAACAGCTTCTCCAGGAATCCAGGGGATCTAAAATATGAAAGGGTGGGGATGAATGAAGCAGGGTAAAGTTTTTCAATCTACAAGCCAAATTGAATTGGGGAGCCAGAATGTCTTGGGTCCTTGGTCAACACAAYAACTGGGAGCTTTGGGATGCATCAGTGATCAATGACTTTTTTGTTTCATTACTGGGACTACAATTTTTGACAATATTTAGACCAGAAATTGTGATGCCTGGCATAGGATGCAAAATTTGTTGCCGATGGTACACAGTTTTTGTGTCCAGATATTGCAAAATGTTAAGCCAGATAAGTAATTGTGCTGCCCTTCCTTAGAAACCCTGAGCTTTGCCTTAATATGATTTAGGCCTCAAAGATTTCTTTCTAATACTGTACAGTTCATACAGGCAGAGTGCACACAAACAAATGTCAACAACAGAGAGCAAACTCAGTCAAAAATAACAAGACAGTGCTTATACTAAGAACATACATGCCTAGTTATTGTTGGTATTAAGGTCATGAACTTTGATCAGTCTTTTTAATAAGTGGTGCTTTTTCATTGTCAATATYGGCATTTAATTCCTCAAGCCTTGAGGGGTTCGGTCCTATGTAGCTTAGGAAAACAGGCAAGAAAACTAAGCCATGCAGAGCTCCAAACAGCACCATTCCTACATACATTCTGAAGTAAAACACCTGAGAATGAGAGACATTTACTTGTGAATTGATAGACCTATACAATGCCTTGAGAAAAGCAAGAAAATTCAGTGAAGTTCATAATTAAGTACAATCAGTCGACGCCAGGAGATAAAGGATGAGTGGATTCATTATTTTGACTGGAAGCAAAATTGGAATTTCATTATTCAGAATTAGCATTAATCCATCATTGCTATTTTTTAAAGAATTTAGTGTAAAAAAAAGTTTATTCTATTGCTGGGTTGCACTAGTGACGTAATTTCATCTCGTGCGGAATATTCATCAGCTGAATCAAAAGTTTTCAACCACCATGTGGAGCAGATAATGAGATTCAAAAACTTTTATCAGCTGAGTTAAAGCCAGCAATACCACTCTTAAAAAGTTAAAATTGCAAATTAGATATGGGAAAACATTTCCYTCATAGGGGTGAGGGGTGGGATGTGACCGTACACATACCATAGCTGGCTAGTCATAAAGTTTTTTTTGCTCAGAAAAAATTGAGTTCCAGGCAATTTGCAAATTGTCAAAAATTGTAGAGCAAAATGTTTTTAAATGATGTGGCTTCAGCTACTGATTGCTCATGAATAACGAATCCCAATACTTTGCTTCACAAGAATAATTTTTTTTTTTTCCTGACTGATGGAAATAAGAAATAATCATTCCCATGTCCATGAATGTTTGGGTAAACAAAGCTGGTTTCATTTTATTGTTAATTGTTAGAGACTATTTATTGAAGGTTTATGTCAATACATTTGTAATGTAGCTTATTTGGATTTTGGTCAGTTTTGTTAGATAATGTAATTTTTTCCATTCTCAAGGCATTATTTGTGTCTGTAACCACAAGCTTAGTCTTCACTATAGGTTTTTAATTTACCTCAGATATGCTTATATACTTAATATATAATTATAGCTTAAAGTCTTATTGATTCAACATGCAATGATTGGGCCATTTATCAATTGTTAACAGGGAGGGATCGAATGCAGTGAGCTTAATAAACCCTTAAAGCATACTTTCAGGTTACGTGTCATTCTCTTGAAATTTAAGATTCTTTCTTTGAGTTGTATCCATATTCATGCATCTTCTCATGTGCAATAGCTAAATAATAAAATATATAATCTTTTCTTTTTCTAATTTAAATAAACAGTCCAATCTTATTGAGAATTACTTGAAACATTCTTTTTCAGAACATAAGAAGATTAGTATTAGTTTAGTTTCATTTAAAGTATTAGGGAAATTTGATATTTTTTCATAAGGGAAAGATATTGTTATTTTCTGTAACTACGCTGTGAATATAATCATGTGAATAGCCTATCTGCACGAGCAGGAATCTCTAGCACGAAGCATGATGGGAAACCGAGTACTTAAACTTTTCAGCTCCTCTTAAAATCCCTCTAACAACTTTTTCTTTGACATATCCTATGAAACTGCAAGTATTTCAGCAGACGACAACAAAGAGTAATTTTTTGTGATAATTCTATTGATTTCTTTGTTCTAATTTGTGTTTCCCATCGTGCTAGAGATTCGTGCTCATGTTCTAATTTGTGTTTCCCATCGTGCTAGAGATTCGTGCTCATGCAGATTGGCTATTGTATCGTATTGTATGATGGACATACCTCAAAGATCCTTGACTTGGCAAAAGCTAATACTATAATACCACCAAACTTGGTAAGAGTAATTCCACTAAAAACCTAACAACGAGAAGCAAAAAATGCATTATGCTATATCCCTAGTTGCTTTGAAATAAGCTATTTTTATTATTGTGCCAACCAGAGATGATCAGCTGATGAAACAAAGCAAATTGGCAAGAACTATTGTGATAATGGTTGGCAAATGAACATCTCAACATTTGCTTATGTTTGTAAACCCCAAATAGTGCTTATAAATATTGCAATATATTTCAATAACACTCTAAATGAAACAAACCTACGGCCAGGGGTGGATTTGAGTTGCAAACAAACCCCTCTCTTTCTCTTTTGAATTTTACTTAAACCATAAAGTAGTAAATAAAAACATCCCTTTATAAACCCCTTTCTGAAGTTCTGCGGCAAGCCTGAAAAATCGGCTGACATTTGGTGACTGTCAATAATTGGAATAGGGTTGTGTACTTACAGAGCTGCCCATGTAGGCTAATGAATCTTCTGCTCGTTTTCTTTTGGTTTCTTTAAGATTGACAGCAAAAGCACGTGCTATATGTGAACAGAACTCCACTGATATGCCAACAGCCTGAATTGTAGAGACAATCACCATAGTTATTATCAATATCCTTCACTATTATCACAATCTTTTATCACTATTCATCATGAATCATCAATAATTATTATCATCAACATCATTAATCATCATTCATTATCATCTATCATTATTGTCATCAGCATCATCAATATCTATCATCATTATCATCAGCATCATTAGTCATCAGCATCATCATTATCTATCAGCATTAATCATTAGCTTCATCAATCATCATCATTTATCATCAATCATCAGCATCATCATAAATTATTACATGCAGCTTCATCGATTATCATCAACAATCATTATCGATAATTATCATTATCAAGAACCATCCACAGCATTAAATTCAACATTTTTATTCACATTTTATAAATTCAACATTTAAAAAACACTAAAAACACAGCATTTGCTTTTTTATGCTTTCTTTCTCCCTAACATAATGTTAAATCTTAACTCTATAACATACTTACCATGACAAGATTAACTAAAGAGATTGCATTCAGATTAATATCCCATAAGTACATTAAGCCGAGCAGGTTGGTTATGATCATGGCTACTGTGAATGTTACTATAGCAGCAATACTAAGATTGAATCCCATTAATAAGAATGTGACCACAAATACTGCCGCTGAAAACCAAAAAAAAATTATCAAATTAGAATACGGTGTTCTTTCAGAGTGATGATGGAAAGCTAATAATGTTGTTCAAGGATTTTAGCTTGGGCGTAATGTTTTTCCATTTCAGACAAAATGTCATGCTGTTGAGAATAAGGTTCTTTGTTTGAGTTCTTTTTATATTCAAGTGTTTTCTCATGTGCAACCCTTAAGCAAAGAAATGATACTCAAGGGAATAACGTGTGGTCTGAAATGGGAAAACAACACACCCAAGCTATGCTTGCAGAGGACTCATATCACTTACCAGCACAATACAAGAGATTTTGCCAGGCATCAGTGACTATAGTCAAGTATTGTTCATAAAATACATAGAATACACTGAAAAATAGTTCAGAGAAAAAATATTAGAAAAATCGGATGGCATTAGTTTGTTGCAGCTAGATTTTAAGCCCTGCATCACAGCTGAATAGCAGTCATCTTGTGGATTGAATCACTGATCACAATACCATCATACAGATCTCAATGTAATTTGAAGGCAGAGGTTATAACAATACAATGAAGAAAACATTTTTCTCAGACTAACCTGTATGGGAAAACTTTGATTTTAGGATTGTTAATAGACTTGGTGATCTTATCTGCAATTTCATAAGCACTTTTGAGGGCAGCCACGAAGTCATCTGAGGTCTTCAGAATTGTGTGATAGGACATGAAGTATGATGCTATCGAGAAACAAATAAATTATGCAAACAAATTAATATTGAAATGAGAGGGGAAATGAATAAACAAATGAATGACATGGAAGAAAACAAATAATGGATTGCTCAAAGAAAGATTGAAAGAAAGAAAGGTTGAATGGAGATAGAAAAAGTGAAAGAAACAAAAGGAAGAAAGGGAAGAAAGATTTATGAAGCGAAGGAAGAAACAAGAGATATGAAATAAGGAAGAGACAGAGGAAGGAAAGAAGGGAAAGAAAAGCTGCTATGATAACAAGTTAAGGCTGTAGCACTTACAGTTAACTAGAAAATTAACACCAGGATAGGACAAGTTGTTGAGTTGTAAAGCATTGCCATAAGCTGCATGACCACCCTTTGCACACTTCATCTCTGGGTTATCCTTCAGGAAGAATGGCAAGAACTTGTCAAACTGATAGGAGGTTGGACGATCTCCTGATTGAGATTTGTTCAAACAGGGTAAGCACAGCTTGCTATCGACTGAAAAACAGAAAAGATGGAACAATTTAGATATCAAATTAATGTAGATCAATGGAAGATGGATGAAATGGAATGAATGGACAGGACTGATTGTCAACCCAAGGTATCACATGAATCAATATGCACCCAACTGAAACCAATTCACTTACCAGTAGCATTACAAAAGGTGAGTGGGCTGACAGGTTCAGTAGATACTCCACACTTTAATACTGGGTTAGTGGAGTTCACCTCTGTCCCATTAACAAAGGATGACTTGGTGACGTTAACCATGCTGCAGGACTGTTTGTGTAGAATTCGGCAGCAAGTACTGCTTGGGTCTAACCAAGTAAAGTAGTCATCAACCCATGAGGAGGCAGGCATAGCAATCTTGGAACTAAAAGGTAAAAAGAGGCCTTATTTAGCATCAGTGTTCGTGCAGTTAGGTCTTCCAGGGAGTAGGCAGTTCACCACTTTACCCCCTCTCTCAATCAGTCCTCTGTTTTAAAAGCTAACACTGATTAGAGAGAAAATCAAACAGATGTGAACATCTTTAGGATCAAACTGTGGACCTTTAGCATTCTTTAGAAAACTGTGATTCAGCTGATCAACATTCTGCATGAGACGGGAAATGATTTCAAAAGAAACCCAGCGATAATCACTATCCCAGCCACTATCAAACTCTTTCAATTCATCTTATTTTTATCTTATTAGCTTTGCCGACTTTCTGGAAGCTTACCTCTCAGGTTGTAATGAGGCTCGGAAAACTTGCTGCACAAGAGAACTAGAATTACAGCCTGCAGAACCACAGATCATATTCTGCCCTCGATCATGTTCATAATCATACTGGCCATCAAGCACAAAATACACTGGAGATCCCACATGCAGGTAATGTTTTAGGTCCTTGAACCAATTCAGTAAGAAGGAATCCTGAGAAAAAGTTGAAGGTTTGGGTATTAGAGTCAACATTATGGTACATAATATATGGACATACAATGATATTATTTTGTTTAAAAGGGTTGATTGTTGTTTAAATTACGAACCAGAAGTATATTGGATAATGGAATAAAGTGAAAGTAACAAAACCTAATAATTGTTAAAATGGCTATAAACATCACCTGCTCCAAGGATTTGATCAACCCTGAGTTTAGGGCATCAAGAAAATAGACCTCTTTAGCTTGGGCCTAAAGCTTTGCTTATTACAGACCTCAGTAGCGGATCCAGGGGAGGGGTACAGGGGGTGTCATGCCCAAAAGTATCATTTCTTTGTTTAACCGTTGCACATGAGAAGACACATGAATGTGGAAAGAACATTAAAATCTTAATTTCAAGAGAATGTCACTAGGTCTGAAGTGGGAAAACACTACATCCAAGGTACAAAGGTCTATTGAAGTGAAGTACATTGTAACTTTTTCCCAACTATGACGGAGACTCTGTGTTCACATACCTTTGGTAGTGCCAGTTCTTGATCAAGTCCAACAGATATCCTGGCTGTCATTGAAATGCTAGTAAAAAGCATAGCAACAAAGAATGCAATGACGCATGGTCGCACGTAATCTGATAGCAATGCTGGGGCATAGAGTTTCTGGATAAACTGGTATAAAAATCCATCTTGGTGTGTTGCGTTACTGTCCTTGTTCCGCACACAGCAGAGAATGTCCATGCGGTTTTTCTCTTGTCGCCTGGCATCTAGAGACATTAGTGCGACAAACCATGTGATCTGGAAAAGGAAGTCAATAAAGACTGCTACTGCAGCATAGAGAGAGAACACCTTGACAGCAGGCATGTTGGACATGGCACCTGAGAAAAACAATATCAATATTAACATCCAGGTATAAAAAAAATAAAATAAAAAATAGAAAAAAACAAGGATTGGTTCTCCAGTCTTTCTCCCAATGCAAAACCTCACCAGCTAAATTTCAATTTAATCTGTGAGTTAGCTGTGCCCTACCTTTGACCAGCCCTGAGGTTGTTTAAGGGTTTGATTTGAAGATTTTTTAAAATACGACAGCTCCAAGAGCATCCTCATCACTAGAGTATCAGCAAGTTTCTTTTTCTTTTCAAGTAAAGTAGCGGAAATTTGTACAAGATCTTTGGAATAAAAGTTCCTTTACAGCAAACTTACCAAAAGCAAAAGCCACGGACTCAGCCAATGATGACAAAAGCATACTGGGCGCAACCTCACCAAGTGCGTGACCAACTTTCTTGGGTACATCCTCATTGCTATAGCGATTTAAACGCTGGTAGGCTTGTACCAAAATAAAGAAGTTGTCGACACCAACAGCTAAAACAAGGAATGGTATGACTTCAATGATAATGAGGGTTGCAGGTTCGCCCACGTAACTCCAGAACCCAATAGAACAAGCAACTGAACACAAGACGATGATGATGCCGGAAAAGCCAAGGGTGAACTTGGAATCAATCTGTAGATGGAAAAGAAGGGTGTCATTAGTTCAAACCATATGTTATTCCCTAACCTGCGTGCAGCCACATTTTAACATTGGTTAAGATCATTGGTCTGTGATCATAATATGATCATAATCATTTTTTGACACAGGTTGCCGTTGGGTTACACTCGATAGAGAGTTTTAGACTGACATTTTTTTCTCCCTGCAAACAGCAAACGTGACCACGTTTTCATAGTTTTCCTGTATTTTACTTTACCTTTTACAAACCTTCTCACCAAGCGCAAATACTCTTTTGTTTTTCTACTACTTGGACGTTTTTGCGATTCTTTTTCAGTAATTCAAAAGAATTTTTTAYTGGTCAACTGACGTTTCACGTTTGCCGTGAACGTAAATCTAAAACTCTCTAATAGTAAAAATCATTGTCAGGTCCAAAAACATAGAACACAGAAGCAGAGTCCAAAATGTATTCTGGGACACGACACAATTATCCTCCGATGTATTCATTTAGATACACAGCTGATATGAAACATGAGATAAAAGCCACCATGCAATAATTTATGAACATTCCACTAGCTGTCACATCTAATTAGTGCTTCTATGTTCTATGTTTTTTAACCTGCAATGAGCTTACAAATTAAGCATATGTCCTTGTGAAAGTATAATGAACTCACCATAATCCTATCACAGGAGTTGACCTGACCCAGTGCGATGGTAATATATGCAAACATGATGCTGTAACTGGCGATGATGGTAGCAATATCTGTCTTGCTCTCTCTGTCCAACTCATCTTGAATAGATCTTTCAGAAGTGAAGCTGATGGTCAAGTTGCTGTTGCTGGGGTCAGCAACATAATTCTTCATGTACTCAATGAAGGCCTTCTCCCATGCTTCTGCCTTGGCATTCTTGCTTTCGTCTTTGTGGTTGTTGACAACAAAGGTAATAATGAGAGCATTTGCCATGTTGTAGTCAGTTCCGTTAAATCCTCCCATGACAATATTTGGGTTGATAGGGATACCGTTTTCACCCAGGCATGAACCTCCACCCCATTTTTTGTCATCAAGTGATGTCGGAGCACTACAAAAGAATTGTTACATGGGTTAAAGTTGTTAACAGCTCATTTCTGAGATATGCTTTGCTTGTCAGGCACAAAGGATTCAATGTAAGGCACCGTGCACAATGCTCAGTGATTTTGTGACATGAGAAAAGAATATATTTAATTTAGCACTTAGCCTCATGCTGACAGCCTTGTACATGATTGGCAGCAAAACATATCTCAGAAGTAGGCTATTCTTTCATTATTCTGCATTATGTATTATATATTTCTATGGGAAACATTGGCAATGTGCACTAATTATGAACTATTGCGGTTTTGTTGGCAAGGGGGAAAATCCATGTTATACTGACGACTAATCAAAAGATATGATATTTAACATGTATAAAAATAAAATTAAAAAAGCAACAAAAAGAAATAGACTTTTTTAGCTTGGGGCGTAATTTTTTACTATTTCAGATCACCATTTCATTGCCAATTATATTATTTCTTTGTAAAGGTTGTGCATGGGAACACACATGAATATGGATACCATTCGAACAAAGAATCTTAGTCTCTAGGGAATGACACTTAGTCTGAATGGGAAAAACTTATGCCTAAAGCTAAAAAGATGAATTTTGAAGAAGCCTTTAAAGCAAATGTTAAGCACAAAATATTTTCTGTAGCACTAAACCTCTTGATGTTCTGAACATTACATACATAGACCTACCTTGTGCAATATCGTATGTGATCATGGAAATCTGCTTTGAAATAATCTTTCATGCCAGGCTTACATTCATGCGCCAGGGCAGTAATACAGCGATTGAGTTTTTTCTTGTCATTTTGGAAGTACTGAAACAGACTCTGGATGACGCACTTGTTATTCAAGGGAGAAAGGGGTTTGTAACACACATCCTCAAGAGTCATGTTWTGTTCTTTTCCATTCTCTGTGAACGGCACCTTCATTGATGTCAATACCAGCTGTAAATCTAGGGCCTGAAATGGGAAGCAGAAAAGTATTGGTAATAATCAATAGAGCAATAGTGAAATTCAATGATTCCATATATGAAAAGAAAAATGGGGTTTCCCAAGCTTGTTTTCAAGATAATCAGCATTTTAATGGCACCTATGCATGAGTTTTTGAAACAAAAATTTCACCACTGGAAATGATCAGAAAAAAAATTAAAACTCACAAGATAATAGCTCTTTACAGGCTCTGTAATTGCACAAATGCTGGCAAGTGAATCATTCTACAATACTACATGGGTATTATTGAGAAAAAGAAAAAGACATGGATTTTTTGTCATATTTCATTCTTTTAGTGCCTACAAGAAAATCTCATAAAGTTCAACAAAAATTCCTATTCCTGTAGGCAGTCACCTTAAAAAAAACTGATTTAGCAGAGAAATGTCGAGACAAACAAGATATACTGTACACATGGTGGGAAAAAAACAGTAATTATTTACTAGCTCTTGCGGGTATATAGGAAGGCTAACGGAAATCCAAAGGAAATGTTTTATCAAGAAAAGGTTTGACTTCTTTTGTTCTTTCCTGTTGCCCCCACTTGGCCCCAGATCTTCAGATCCCTTACCTGGTTCAATAGATCCAAATGTGCAATATTTCCAAAAGGTATAAACTTATCATCAGGGTACTGTAGGTAACCTGTGTGGTTCTGAGGGTAGTCAGGGTTTGCAGTGATGATCAACTGTTCGGTACGATAAAATGGCCTAAACTTGGAATCAAAAAGGTCTTTTTCTTTACGAGCCCTGCTCCCTGGTGCAGACCACAAATCTACTGGGTTTTTTATAACCTTGTAGAATTTCAAACCTCCGGCTAACACCCCAACGAAAATAATAGAACCAACGATGACGATGAATGGATGACAACTGCACCAGTGACCCCATGTACTGAAAACTACTCGTAGCTGCCTGTCCATCCAGAAGCCCATTCTCTCGCACATGCCTGGCTTCCGCGCAAACCTCACATTGATAACATTTGGATTATGGCCATTGGTATATGGCATCGATGATGAAACAGGTGCTGGCCCATCTGATATGCGTGCGTACTGGTTTTTCTGTTTTGTGATGAAGTAGAAACTTATTGGCATGAAAGTGAAAAAGAATACCAAGTAGATGATAAGCAGAGTGAATGAAAGTACTCTTAGACCCAGGATGGTCTTTGGTTTTGGTGTTGGAGGTACAGGAGGGATGTATGGGCAAGATGCAGCACAGTCCTGACAGCTGCATATCGTGGAAGTCTTGTTAGTCCATGGGTTGACAAAACTTTCATTGCATTGATAGCTAGTTTGATTCATCCAGGTTAGGTTTTGGGGTAAGATATCAGGAAATATTAAATCAAAGGGAGACATTCCATTGCTTGTGCTGCCCATATATTTAAGCAGTTTACGCGGTGTACATGTTTCAGCACTCTCGCCACATAGCAGATTCAACACCAACTCGTTATTCCCAGGAAACACTACATTTTTACAAGAATCAAATAGCCCATTTTTAAATTCTGGAGAAACATAGTACTCAATCTTCAAAATTGACGGAGTAAAACCTACGACTTGAGTAGGGTCCATAAATAGAGACTGATCAGGACTACATGTTGATTCGCAGAACAAATCCAACATGTTTTGCCAACATGCTGGACAACGGCTCGTAAACTGGCGTAGGGTATTAAGATTACTATCCAATGCTACAAGCTGTTTGGTACTACAACAAGTGCGGTGGTCCCCCGAAAACTGAGGACAGAGCTTCTTCAGCAAGCTGATCCCCTTTGTATCGTTGAGGACCTTGGCTGGGCCATTGTAGAGGCAGTTCAGCGACTTGCCATCTGGAGATTTAATGCATTGGTCATACCAAACACAGTACCCTTTCTTGTGAATCGGTGCAATATCTTTAGCCTGTAAAGCAAGAGATTTTACTTCAACATTGTGAAAGCATGTTGTCTTTCCTAAGCTTAATACTTTCATACCGGCCAAAAATAACACTTTAATTTATTCACTGTATTTCACTTTTTGTCTCTCCCAATTTACAATCTTTCATATGTGTGATCGTATTAAACTGTTTAGGAGTCAAAAAGGTCTTAATATTCTCAATTTATAGTTAAATGTTATGCAATACAATATAAACTGTACAACATACACTTAGATTTTTATACCTGATTCGAGGGAAACAAGAGGAGCACCGTCAAAACACACGCATAAAATAACATCTTTCTTCAAATTCACAGATTCGTCAAATCCAAATTGAAAATCTTTAGTTCTTATAGAGAAGATCTATCGATCAATCGATGTCTTATAGCGACAAATCCAGTAAAGAAACACGTCCAAAGTTCAGRAGGGTTTCAAAGTCAGTCCGGTAAAGACCGATCGGGGTGTTGTATTGCGTCTAATGAATGCATGCATATGTCGAAATAAGACTTCTGATTGGTCCGTTTAGTCAGGCCACTGGTCCGCCATATTTTGTGACGTTGCCCGGTGACTCAATCTACGTGAGTCACGAGACTTCAAAAACAATTGCTTGAAGTATTTGTTTTTTCATGTTCGTGCGGAAATAAGCATCGCCAGGGGTCTAGAACTTAATATCTGATCTTATCTGARAAAAACAAAGTTTAGGTTGATAGCACGTGAAATGAAGAATCGGGAAAAACTTTACCACAGGGATCCCAACTATTTCTTACGAAACTTTCTTGATGGAACACGAGATAAAAAGTGAAACAGCGCATTTCACTTTGTTAAGAATATACGCGAAAACCAAAGTCCACAAGGCAGTACATTGCACCATCACGTGATGGCAGCCATGACAGGAGGCAGGAACAATTGAATCTGGTCCATTCATTTACACAAGTATACTCTATTGTCGTGCCTCCTGTCGTGGCTGCCATCACGTGATGGTGCAAAGCCTCTATTCTTCGTTTGCAATTGCTGGTTTTCACATGACGTCATCAAAACATCAAAATCTAAACTACAGATCGTATAAAGACATTTCTCAAGTATGTTTTAGAAGTCAGTGTTATAAGACACAAGAAAAAGTCTCGAGTCATTTCGATGTTGATGTTCTGTCAAGAGTCATAGCCTTCTGGACAGAACATCAACTATTAAACCAAAATCAATTTGGATACTTAAAAGGCAGATCAACGGTAGGCCAACTTCTAAGTAGCTATAATGACTGGTGTTTATCAAGAAATACCTCAAAAGCGACAGATGTTATCTTTTTAGACCTGTCAAAGGCGTTTGAYAGMGTTCCACATGAACGCCTACTCTTCAAGCTTAATAGGTATGGCATTGACGATCAATTACTATTGTGGTTCAGGAATTTTCTAACTAATAGAAAACAAAGAGTGCAAATACGTGGATCCTTTTCTGATTGGTCTCCAGTAACATCGGGTGTCCCGCAAGGTTCAATTCTGGGGCCGATCTTGTTTCTGTTATATGTAAATGACATTCCA